TGTAAGTATGTCTGATCTTGGAATTGTGTGTATTGAAACAATTGCATTTCCCTCTGAGATTAATAAAGTATTTTTGAATTTGAATTGAATTGAATTGAAAGGAATTAACTCATCCTTAGTTTTTCCACCTTGTTTGTTTGATTTTAAATTTGTGTTTTTATATTCTTGTTTTACTTGTTCTATTGGTTTTAGTTTATTGTTCTTTTTTATCTTTTTTACTTCATATGATATACACTACTATATTAGCTTGTGTTTTTTTATTTATTTGTTTTCACGTGCAGCGCTTTGGTCGGTTGTAATGCCGTGTTAAAGCGCTTTACAAATAAAGTGGTATGGTATGGTAGGTGATTTGAGATGACTCGTGTCATGATTTGGTACTAAAATAAACAATATTCAATTTAATTAAATCCTACCAGAGACCACTGCAAATGTATTGAATAAACAGTGTCCTACACTTTTAACAGGCTATGTAATTTTAAAAGTGAAACTCAGTTAAGTCAAGAAATTTACTTTTTCTTATAAGATTCATATTTAAAATTTTTCCAATTAGTTCAGAAAGTGGACAGCTACAGGACAGTGCAACTTTTCTCAACAGTAACAATGCACAAGGAAAAGAATGGACCAGCCTATATTTTAAACTAAATTGATGCATTTCTCATTACATCAATAATAAATTAATATTCTTCCATTTAAGACTTGCTGCTAAATGATTTTTTGATGGAAAACGAGATGAGCAATAAACTGCTGTTCAAAAGACAATAACTTTCATCCTGTTGGAAGAGGATTACTCTCAGGTTTTATCATGAGTATAACTACAACACAAGATTTAAATAATAAAATCTTACAGTTATCGTTTGCTAGCAAAACAGCAGGGGCGTGTCCAGGGTGTGGCCTGGGGTAGCACATGCCACCCTTGGAATCTGATTGGCCACCCCAGGTGCCAACACACTGATTTACCTTTAAAAAGGCTTTTCATTGTCCACAAAAAGGCTTGGGGGTAAAACAACAAAAGCAAAACCATTGGTGCTGTAATGATGTCAATAGAGGGTAAATTGGATTAAATAAATTGCTTAAGAGCTATTTATTTCTATTCTCATTACTTTGTGACCAGTAGCTGTAATACTCTATTATTATAGAATATCACCTTGCTTGGTCATAGGATGATTAATTAGAAGGTTCTAGGATTATTTTAATTATTAAGGGACCGTCACACTTCGCTTATAATTCAAGAACCACTCAAGTTTGCAAGCAAAATAAGAATTTATTTTACAAACAATTTTAAGCACTGACAATGGTTTAGACTACTATACTTGTGAGTGGATGGAACTAGAAGATGGGTGTCTGGAAACTGTGTGTGCATGATGAATCAGAATCTCCGTATCTTCAGAGGTGAGTTCTGGATATAAATAATTTGGTTTGCAGCTAAGCTATGAGATATTATTCCCAAACTGCATACAGACGCCATCACTGTGTTCTACGTACCCAAGTGGAGACGCCCTTGCGGATCCGAGATGTCAGGGGGTTGGAGACCCCGGGTACAGAAGTCCGTAGACCAACTCCCAGTACAACCAGGTCAGTCCAGGTTCGCTCCAGGTAACACAGGTGGACTGTATGAAACCAGAGCGTCTCAAAATTAACTTTGAAGGAGTTTGCAAAATCAGCTTGGTTCTGCAGCAAAAATATCTGGTTGTTCTCGGCTTTGCAGGTGCAAAAGCTTAAGGTGTTGACAGCGTGTCAAACTCCTTCCTTCGAGTTTGAGATCTGCTAAGAGGTGGCCAGCCTCCGCTTGCTCTCCAAACTCTCATTCTGTCAGATGTTCGGACTGAACCGAGGAGAAGCAAGTGGCTGGTTTATATATACGTTGTTATCTTTACCAAGAATTCTCAGAACCACACGCTCCATGATCCAGAGCCACTGAGTCTAGGGGGACAAGGTTAATTTATGTGTAATGCGTTCTCAAATTAGCCTTACTTCTTGTCTGGTGTGGTGAGGGAGATGACCTAATCCAGTAAACATACTTAGCATTATTGAACAGATTCATGAAACATTTCATCATTTATACAGACGTGGCAATATTTAGTGATTATTAATTGTAAGATCTTCTCTTCTTCAAGGATCATTCTGAAATATCCTTATATTATGAAATCTTCTTTTATTCCGGGAATAAAAGTTTATTTTAGGAGAGTTCTCTTGTGAAGGATCCTGGAAAAGAATGCTACTTTCATCTTTATTATCTGATGAAGCTGCGTGCAGCTGGTGAAGTCATCTGAATACTTGTGTGCCGACACAAGACTCCTGCTAGGGTGAAATACAGTAGACGTGCTGTAGACAGGGTTAGATGAGCTCACTGTGCTTTTGACGGGTGGGATCTTTAAAGTCAGGCCATTTGGTGACGTTACAGTGCCACCCATGCAAAAAGTTGTGCCCCACCTGGGCCACCCCGTTTTAAAAGATCTGGACACGCCACTGCAAAACAGCTAGCTTTTCCCCACACCCCCTTACAGCTGAATGTTCAAACCACGAGAAGAAAATCAAATCTAAATATTTACTCATTCAGTGGGCAGTTTTAAGTTACAAATTATGTCATTTTCTACAAACAAGCTGGTAAGCCAGTCTGACCACCTGCTGCTCAGCATTCAGAGAGAAACACTGCAGCCAAGCAGCCTGGTTAACTCTGAGAGGAACTGCGGAGTTCCTGAAGGAAAGAAGTTCCTTTTCATTTCAAAGTTTGGCTGAGGTGGCAGCTTGTTTTCATCAAAGGAATCCAGACAAAATGTTGTGTTAATTCATTTCCGCACCGACTGCATCACATATGCAAAACTGCCTGTTTATTTATAGCATTGCCAAAGTTTTGGCAGACGCTGACTGGGTCGATTTATGGTGCATTTCAGATAAGTGGAACACTTAATGCACCTCTCTTTGTCTCTGACTTTTCATAAAAGGCAAAGCCAGACAAATGATAAATTACAGCTTTTCCGAATAGTGAGTCTGGTTTTAGTACATGTGTTCTTATTACTGTAATAATAAAGCAGTAATTCTGTTATTCTATATAATATCTGTTGAGGTTTTTTTTGTATTATAATTTGTTGTCTTAAATTTTAATCCAATAAAGCTGCAAATTTCAAATATGTAAAATTCCATAGTTTTTAATCATTTAAATGATTTAACTAATGTGTTTATTTGCCTAAAGCAGCAAGAGGGACAGTTTTAGTGTTCTGGACTCCTGAACATTACACTTTGAGCAGCATCAAGTCATCTGCATGTTTTTGTTTTCTGCCATCACAGTGACCTACACAGGATTTTAGTGAACTGTAATAGTATGATGACTGTAGTCTTTGAGGAACTGCATGTGTAAACCACAAAATACAACAGGTGAACTTATTAACAGCAACATTTTCTTTCCTGTCATTTTTTAAGTCTCAGAAATCAACAGGTATCTTGATCCATTACTTACTATTGTGGTAATATATAAGTTCCTCTGATACAGCATTTCAGTTGTGACACAGGGGCGTGTCCAGGGAGTGGCCTGGGGTGGCACACCCTTGGAATCTGAATGGCCACCCCATGTGTCACCACACAGAATTCCCTTTAAAAAGGCTTTTCATTGTCCACAAAAGGCTTGGAATAAAAAAAAGCATAACCATTGGTGCCACCCATGCACAAAGTAGTGCCTCACCTGGGCCACTCCATTTTAAAAGATCTGGACACGCCACTGTTGTGACAAGACAAAGATCTGTACGTGAACTGATATCTCTAAACAAATGTATGAGTTCATTCTGTTAATGCCATATCTCATTTCTAGGGGAAATGATCTGGTTTACTTTTTTCAAAATTAGAAAAAGAATACTGGTCTTGTCATCTCTCATTCTACTTCTACTGTAACAAGAATCATAGTTAAGCATTGCATGAGCTGTGTTTGTTTGTCATATTAAAAAAAACCACATCAAAAGCCTTGGGACTGCAGATGGCTAAAACAGGGGTTTCTCGTGGAAGGATCATGTTGCGATCATTCTATTACACAAATTCTAATTAGGAATATTGTACTTATGTAAATTTCAACACTTAAAGAGCAAGTCACCCCCTAATTAACTTTTCTTTGCTGATAAACTATATAATCGTGCTGTAGACACGTGTAGACAATAATTTGGCACTTTAGTGCATCTTCTGTCAGTGTTATGCCGTCTTCAGGTAAAAACTCTGCCCTACATTTGAATTTAAATCTGCCATCTCTATTGGCTAAGAGGTACACTATGACATTAGCTGGTGTATTATGATGTCACAATGTCGTTGTGAGCCTGCTTGTGTTTGTGAGTTTGTTAGCGTCTCCACCCTCTCAGTGTGCAAGGCAACCGCATTTGTCGCATTTTTCATGCAGGAATTGGGAGTGGAGTAAAGCCTAGGGCAAATCGAAGGCAGATGCGTTGCACCCACACCGCACCCATGCCTCATCGACACCGCACCATCTGTTCTCAAGTCCCGCGTGATGTTGTGACTATCGCGCAACTTTCCAAGATGTGCTCAGCGGCGCGACGTGTGTAACCACGTGACTCTTCAAAACCGCCGGCGCGACGCAGCGCAGCATGTCTGCCTCCAGTGTGCCCCAGACTTAAGACTCTGATGGGGTGATTTGGAAAAACTTACAAAAATGTTGATTGTGAGCAGGGGAAAAGCTTTTGTGGAAATCCTAAATGTTCTCATTTTAGCAAAGTAGAATGCAATTATGGACCAGTTTAGCCATCAAATTTTCAGAAGTCTGTTTAAACTCATAAAATACTTTTTGAAATACTAATATGTATGTTTGCGTGTTGAAATTAATTTAAAAGTTTAAATATTTAATTTTGAATTTGGTACTTTTGTGTTATTTTTGTAGCTAAGGAATCTAGACCAAATGCAGCAATAGCAAAAGATACTGCTCTGCAAAAGATGCTGCTCTGTATATTTTTACATAAAGGTTGGCTTTCCACGCCATTATTTTTGCTGAGTGCAAATCTTACCTTGGTTTGGCACAACGGCTTGCCGTACTGACGTATGACAACTTTCACATTCTGGTAAAAATGGCGTCGTCCTGCGTGCGAGTTGTTGGATCGATTTTAGGAAAATGTGCAAACTGTAGCGCGATTATAAGCCCAGTCACATTGCAGTTATTTCGACAGGTAAGTAAATAATGCGTATTACATAACAGCATACCTATTCAGACTGATGTAAAATTATTTTTTGGAGAAAACATTGACGTCCTTGAGTTAGCATTTTCGGCTATCCGAAACTATCTGGCGAAAAATTCGAATTAAAGTTGTTCTTCCTCCCGGTTTGTTTAAACATTGTATTAAAGATAACTATTACCCTTATTTAGTGTTTCTAACCTTTATGTATATTTCGGCTGGTGTTAAGCATTTCTAGGGATGTTCAAAAAGTCTCACAGGCTCAATGTGTTTCCTGTAGGTCTGCATGAGCTCTGCGCTCCACAGGAAGAACCTAGCGGCAGCGGGACCTGAGCAGTTCACAGCGGAGTTCGTCAAAAAGCAGATAGATGAGTTCGAAGTGGGGAAGCGGCACTTGGCCAATATGATGGGAGAAGATCCTGAGAACTTCTCCCAGGAAGACATAGACGTAAGCTGAATGCCGTTCCTGTTTGTAGACCTTTTTTTCTGGTTGTAGAGCTGTAGAAATACCTTTGTTGTGTTTTTCTAGCTTGATGTTGTCAGTAATCTACTTATAGAGCAGGGGTGTCAAACTCATTTTAGCTCAGGGGCCACATTGATGGAAATCTAGTCCCAAGTGGGCCGGACTGGTAAACTAAAAACAACTTCAGATTGTTTTTTTTTTTTTTTTTGTTTTAATACAATCAATATAAAACAAAGCTGGAGCCTGAGGACAGTGTATCCAAAATAGTACAAGTACAACACCTGAAGTGTACTTGAAAATTTGAAAAAAAAAAAAATCAATAAATAAAAAAACATTCCTTAGTGATTCAATGAGCTTACAGATCACATGACTAGATCAGTTTCATGCAGCACTTAAAGTATATCTGACTCATTTTACTTTACATCTTTTAGCTTTCACCAGCACATCAATATCAGAAGTCACATCCTGAGTGGCGGCCAACTTCAGGATGTGATTCAAGTTCTTGTGTGAGCCTTGAGCGCAGCTTTGTTTTATTTATACTCATTACAGAGAAAACTTGCTCACAAAGATACGCTTATTTTCACTCTACATTGTAAAGTATGAAAATAAAGTTTACACAACCATCTCGCGGGCCGGATTTAACCCACTTGCGGGCCGCATCCGGCCCGTGGGCCACATATTTGACACCCCTGTTATAGAGCTCCGGGAGTTGACGTCACTTCTCCCGGCATGCAACAGTTCAAATCGAAACGGTGCCATATTGGCATGCAGAAGCCCGCAGCTAGACTATTTGTTATTGTCAGAAAACTCAATCAAATGGGAAATATGGTAGATTCCTGTTGTGCCCCAGGATGCAGAACAGACGTGGATGAGATAAGGGAAGTGCCATCTACAGGATTCCCCAAGATCCAGAATGCTGCAAATGTTGGATCATTGTTAAAAAACGCGCTAGTGACCGGGCTAAAATGAAACTCTGGGATCCCGAGAGTAAAGGTTTTAGCTTATGCAGTGACCACTTCATATCAGGTACTTAAACCAACGTTTCCTCAACTGTGTATGGTATTTATTTTAAATGCTTTTATTACGATTCTTAGTGGGCTTCCTAAACTTATTTTGGCGTGGCTTTTTCTGTCTTATTCCTCATAGCAACAAGTAAACATCACGTAAAACGTTGCCTCGTGAGTTCTGCGTGCTGCCGTTTACGTGTTTTATGATCACAGCAATTAACCGGCTAAGCTGTATTTCATTTTTAAGCAATGGTTGATCAATTGTCAGATCACACATAAAAAGCACTTTGGATTGCTATTATCTGTCTCACCGAGACAGATCTCAGACAGATCATGAGACGCTCCTGCCTGACATTTTTATTTTATTCACGGAAAAAATCAGACTAGTGATTTCTCTTGGCGTTCAGTTTATGCATTCAAACAGCACAGCACTCCATTTATAAACTACTTACATGTAAATCTATGTTATTTGTCCATCCATCCATTTTCGTCCGCTTATCTGGAGTCGAGGCCCAGACTTCCCTCTCCCCAGCCACTTGGGCCAGCTCCTCCAGGGAAATCCCAAGGCGTTCCCTGGCCAGGTCCGCTCCGAGAGCTTCTGGCGTTTTCAAAAAGAATCCCAGGGGCATGGAAAGGGTCGGAGATGTTTAGTCTATTTAATTTCTGACTATATAAAACGATTTCTTTGGTTTTATAGTGTGAAGTAAACTCTGACGAAGTAAAATCCAAGCTGATCCCGTTCATATTCATATTTACGATCCGTGTTTGTTTACCTTTTTTTCCTGCCAATATGGCGTCTACTAACTGAGAGTCACGTGGGGTCCGGAGCTCTATTCTAGGGACTTTTGACTCTACATACCTTTATATCCTTCTAAAACTCACAGTCTTACTCTCATTTACTTTATTAGTTCCTCTGATAAACCATAATTACCGATATTGATCAGATGATCAACAAAAGGACCCCTCACACCCTGGCCGTAAACATGTCTAGCATCAGGCAGGTGATGGGACGTGGGCAGACTCCTGTAAAGTGGTGCGGAGAAGTTTGTGGTGTCATTCCTAAGAGCCATCAGTTGGTAAACAATAGCAGACGACTAGGGTTGGGCATCGTTTAATTTTGAACAATTCCGATTCCAATTACTCGTTTTGATTCCAGTTCCTACCGATTCCGATTCTTTCAAGACATGACATGTTTTACATGAGCTAGCTAACCACAGGTCCTGCTTGATTAAATAATCTTAACTTCAACATGAATTTTAACTCTATGAACAACAACATCACCTTCATTTAGACAAAAACAAGTTTTGGAGAAAAAAAAGAAAAAGACTTGCAGCACAGACAGTGTGTTTGTTTCTGACCACAACCAAAGTCTGGAAGAAGCCTCTAGGATGAGAGGCTAAATGTCTCCAACATATCCAGAAACGTCCAGCTGTTTTCAGCTAAAACTCTCAGGATGATCATGTCCAGGATGACTGAGAACTACACCTCCATGCTGCAGCAGCGTTCAGTCAGAACTGGAAGTGAAACTTAAATGTAGCTGCTGTCAGTAACAATCTAACAGATTTTAAACATTAAAACTCTCAACAGAAATAGTTCAGAAAGGAAATAAAAAATGTTATTTATTATTAGTATTATTATTATTATTTATTGTGGCAGAAGCTGGTGTGGTCCACCACAGAGAAGCTGCTCTCGCATTATGACTTTTTATTCTACAGGTTATTGTTCAGCCTTCTGACTCTAACACACACACGCTCACACTCACGAGTGTTGGTGAGCGGCTGCGTCTGACTGCTGACGCACCGTGTGTGTTTTTATTTCTGCAGTGACACAGACTCACCTCTAGGGCTGCAGCTATCGAATATTTTTGTAATCGAGTACTCTATCGAATCTTTTATCGATTAATCGAGTACTCTAATAAATGACCCTTTTGTGTTCGTAAACCATTATATCAAATAGCATGTTATAAAATATGAAAGACCTCTTAAAATGAGCAAGCAATCGCCAGTTATTCTTCAAGTTTTATTCAAAATGAGTTTTCAAAATTTCAGCACTTCAACTTTACTTCACAGTAAACAAATGCCTGTGCAAAAAATAAACAACCTGAGTTGATTTTCCCCTCCTGCGAGAAGTAGCTCTGCGAGCGGCTGCGGCCCAAACAGCACCAGAACCGCTCACGGCGCATGCGCATACATGGCTCGCCAACTATTTCCCTATTAACACACGTCCGTTTTAATTTCTACACTTTTTCTTCTCACACAATAACAAGGATTGTCGAGAAAGCATGTTTGCCGTGGTTATGTCAAATTATACCAATCACAAAACATTTATTTACAGTACTTTATTTTGTTTTCCTCATAAATACCTGTGTCCTGTGTTTTACGGGTTCAGATCGAAAACACCCGACGACCTCTCACGCTGCTCACACATCCATCTTAAGTTGTCGCTGTTGTGCTCACACTGTAATACAGTATTAGATGCGGTTAAAGTCAGACATGCAAAACAATCAATTTTACATAAATAAGTAACACAGCCTGGCGGGGGAGGAAAACCTGGCAGGCCGCCAGGCTAAAGCTTGGTTTATGCTTGACGCATTCACTTTCCGCTTGGTGATGCGGCTCGCGGATGGAATGCGCTTCACAACTTGCAGCGTTTATGGTTCATGCGGCTTGTCTTTGCGGTGAACCAATATTCTCCCAAACTGTAGGGGGCAGCACGGAGCTCTACGGCATGCATCCAACACTACACCATAGTAGAAGTAGAAATTACTGTTTACAACATGGCATTCCAGCATTTTTTAACAGCGTCCTCGTCTTTTCCGACAGTGCGAGCTATTTCTCTCCAAGAATTATTAACAACATGTTGATCACGGTGATCTTTGAGAGCTGAATCATACAAATGTCTGTATTTACGAACCTCTGCCGTACTAGTTCTTGCCGGTCCGCCATGTTTTTCCGCGTCCGACCGTCCGCGTGGTTAGAAAATTTCCTAGGTGCGCGTTGCGGAAATTTTGGGCCGTGCGGAGGCGCGGTGGAGGGGCGTGATTATTAAAATGACGCAACTTTTCCGCGCGGAGCCGTGCGGACCTTGCGGACGCGTTAAGCATAAACCAACCTTAAGGAGCACTGGGGGAAACCCTGCCAAGATCGTCAACACTCATCTATCTTAATGCTATTGAAACAAACAAACCAAAAAGCATTATATCCACTGCTACCTTTCTAATTTGAACTCGGTAGCGTATGCTGTAACCACCCTACCCTCCCTCCTCCTTGCTGCCTGCCGGCTGTGATCACAAGCAACAATAGAGTAGTTCCCGCTGCTTCTTTGGGAAACAGCGCAAAAAAAAAAGGAAAAATCCGTAAAACTTGGGATTTCAGCCGCCACGGTTACGCCTGTGTAACGGAAACACTGCCACTTTAAATAGGGGAGGGGGGCTTAGGTTTCACCTTTCCAGTACCTGTAATTAGGGATGGGTACCTTTGACATTTGAATCGATTCGGTACTAATTCCCGGTACCTAGGAATCGATACCGGTACTTAACGGTACCAATTTTCGATACTTTTGAGTGTTTAATATTTTTAATTCTCTTTTATAATTAAATATATACTTTTCTCAATATATAACAATATTTGATAAATATCACGATAAATAACATACAACTGTTTGTATTTTAACATCGTCCTTGTAGTTTTATAAGCTGATAATTAAACTGAAGCAAACATCTTTAATGTGAACTAAATTTACTGTGTATCTTAATTCCTTTTGCCGTCTTTTTTCAATTGACTTTTCCTACTGGGAAGTTAGAATTTCCGAGGAGAAAGCGAACGCACCATTAGATGATAACAACGGTGGCAATGGAAGCTAACATATCAAGCTAACGTAATCTTAAACAGTTTATTTAGCTGCTGGAGCAGATTAAAACGATGATGCCTCACACTTAGATCGTTGTAAAGTGAAGCCAAACTTTAGAACACGTTCATG